CTGAATTTCCAGCTTTGGCCAGTCTCTAGCCCTGAGTACAGTCCTATAGGTTGGCCTCCTTCCGTTGATCATTCGGCCCCACATGTTAGCCAGTCTCTAACATCGTCTTTCCAAATATCCAAGAAAATAATCGTTGGAAATACGTATTAAATATTTGTAGGTGAGTTTGTAGTGGTGGCAATAGTACGAGTTCGCATGTAATTAATAAATATTATTATTATTTTTACGTAATTTGTTATGGGACGCCATGACTGTGAGTGGTATATGCCCCCCAGTAATGGCGACGGCGTATGAGGGCGCACTTTCGAGAAGCGCTCGTCGGATTACTCTATACGAGAACACTCTGAACTCTACGATCCGCCACGTTCGTTAATATCGTACCTTTAATAAATGTAATTTATTCAATATGCATAATAGTGCTGTTATGGATAAAATAACCCCAAAAATGTGGACGTTCCTTTAGTTTTTGTCTGTTCGTGTTTTTGTACTGTACAGTTTACCCACTTCCTTCGCCATCATTCACGAGTGACTGGATGACACTACAATCACAGAAAGGTGTTAACTCTTTTATGAGTGTGCCACATAACCTCGGAGAATTGCCAGCCTACGTACAGGTGGGTTTGAATAAATTACGTTGTAACCAGAAATATTAATAACAAGGTGTCTTGTTACAATAGAGAGTATATTTCAGTAGTAGGCTATTGTTTCGCAATAATTAAATGCATTATGTTTGTGAACACATACTTGCAATGTATTCAACAACTATGTAATTAGAATGTACGTCACTAAGCTTACAGTGATGTATTTCAACATTCAGGTAGTAACACGTGCAGTGGATGGTCCGCATTCTGGATTTCTGTTTAGAGGAACTGGATCTGCACAAATTGACGACGATTCTGGCTATCCTTATGGAGGTGTGATATACAGTTATAATGATTCAGTTGTAAGAGTGTGGGCACCGACTGTGAACAATAATCATGCATCTGGTTGTGCTGTTTACACAGGTAGTTGAATACAGACTTTACATACATCAAGCTCTAATGAATGGTACATGTGTGTCGCGTGGGATTAATAATTCTACAACATCCGGCAAAATGACGTCACGGGTAGTTAGTTGAGCTGGCTATTTGAATAATATCGACTATTATCTTACAATACATAATCCCATCTGTACAGTTCAAGCTGTCCATGTTCTGTTAGTTTAATGATACAATACTTGAACTACAAGATACCAGTTTAACATTTGACAGGGTTTATCATGCCAGCATTTAACTAATCTGCGTCTGTGTTTTATTTTATATATATCAACGTTGCTGCTAATGAGAATTACCAGGATGAACCTCACAAATCCAAAATATATGTACGAATTTGCACTATTTCTCGCGGTATCTACAACTTTATTCAAACACGGTTGCAAATATTGGGTGCTACATTTCACTTTATAAAATTGTTTGCACGTCTCATAAATACATTTAAAATTAAATTGATGTAATCGGACATATATGTCTGAAATTGTGCAATATATCATGTTATACCAGACTGTGGCAATGGTTTATTTTATTAAAATACATTATTTAACAGTATACAGTTCAAAATATTTTAGCCATTGTCTAAGGAAATACATCGAGACAGTGTTTATTCATTTCGCAATCACCGAAAAACCTCTTAACATATATTTAACAGTAAGTACACTTGGTTCTATTTTTTACTAGGTGGTCCATTATGGGGAAATCCTAACTACCAATGCAGCCATGATGTTGAAGTTAAAATAACAGCGTGGAATAGCAACACCTTTCCAACACCTGCATACTCGTCAGATTTTTTCGAATTCAGTGCTAGAAATGGTGATGATTCTTTTATTGAGATTCCACATGGTTTAAGTAGTGTACCAGACTTTGTTCATTTACAGTACACTAGTGTAGACGCAACTGGACTTTGTGAAGGATTCTTCTATGATGGAATTGGTAAAGTTATTATAATAATAATAATCAGCACAGCTAGTACATATATTAAAATGTAATTACGATGAAGTTTACAATATGATATTAACACATTTAAAACATTATAAAACATATTTTTTAATACCTTGTTCTTGACACTTTGAACTGGTTTATCTAAATAATGAATAAGTCTATTCGAAATGAATGCGTTTCAACTATGTTCGAGATTCACTAAATTAAAATATTTCCCTGACTGCATTTTAAACATATTTAATTTTGTATAAAAAGATTGTTCATTGTATATTTGAATCTTTGTCCATATTAAACTTAAATGGGTGAAACAATAATTGTTTTTCGTCATTATAGCTAATTCTGCCATGTTCATGTGAAGTGAGTTTGGTAACTTTCGTGTGTTTAAATACATTTCCCAGGCAAATACAATGTCTTCTGACAGCCATAATATCACCCATTTCACATATTCCATAGAGCAAAAAATATTTAATATTCTCCTCACACTTGAATTCCATAATTACACTTATTGTTGCTGTGTTCAGGATCTGCACAAGCCGATGATGATGTAACTTACAGGGAGCATGGTGGAATAGTATACGCTTATAATGAGACCAATGTTAGAATTTGGACGCCAACAGTGCATGACTTTACTGGGGACAACTATAGGGGTGAGCGAAATAAGTACGAAGTTTAACAGATTATTTTAAACGACTAGTTTCAGTGGAAATCAATTATTTAGGTTATTTATTTGTCACTCTACACGTGACTTTACTTCCATTATCGACATGGTTTGATATATAATTGAGTTATAAACTGCAACTGAACTGAATGTACACTGGTAAAGAATGAAAGTATTTTCACGAGGACCTGATATGGATATATATTTGGACAATTTGGTACATTTATGTAGCATCATCTGTAAGTTATTTCATAAGAAGATCAATATTTTTCTTATACAACTGTTTATAAGGTTATTTATTTTCGGTTGGAGATATCATATTATAAAAAGATCAATATTGTTCTTACACAATTGTCTATTTTCTATGAGGTTATTTATTTTCGGTTGGAGATGGGTGGGGACATGGCGTGGATGTCCCAACTTGCAGGTTCATCAGTGGTTTAGTAAAATTTACTTCATGGGACCAATCATTTCCGCTTCCTGATTTCCAAACTGACGGCTTTCTACAGATGGGATATGGACAAGGTGTCAACAATTATGAGGTTATAGAAATTCCCAGTGACGTCATTCCGGATTTAGTTTGGGTAGAGGTATGAAGTATTGATCATTGTAAAAACGACTGTGCAACTAATTCAGATTATCTTTACCAAGTATTTTTAACATTAATAGGGGTTGAACCTCGGTATGTGTTTATCTTAACACTAGAACAGCAGCTCGATGACATAAATGTTTTTACCGCATGTTTTTAAAGAGGAGAGATAATGAAACTCTTCATTTGTATTCTTTATATAATATTATTTAATTGTATTATAATTATCAGGTGATGTCAATAGAAAATCCAAACAGCGGATTTACTTTCCATGGCATGGGAGTGCAACAGGCGTATCCAAGTCACAACTACGGTGGGCTGATTTATGCATACGACTCTAACGAAGTAAGGTTGTGGTCGCCTAATACGTCCTATGGAGGCATCGTCAACGTTATCGATGGCTGGGGTGGTGAAATAAATATTGAAACATCCTTGATTGCCAACGTTACCGTGAAAATATGGCAAACTGCCGTGAATAGTGAGTAGAATAAGATACTTAGTTTACTTGAGACCTTGTTGATCTTTCAAATTTCCTTGCACATATATAACTAGACACAAAAAGAACAAATGTGAACATATATTGAATGAGGATCAAATACCCTACATTGCCTAACACATATTGTATACAATCGAATCATATTTAGGCTTGCAAACGCTCACTCGGCGCACAGTATAAAAAGCATAGACACTTGTAAAATTTGGTGACCAGTAGAGAATGTTAGAAAGCGTGCACAGCCGTCAAATAAACTCAATAGGCATGGCCGGGGTCAAGACCGAATATACGTGACTCCTGCTTTCCATAATAAGGATAGGTAATGTTGTTGACATTGACACACATATCCACTTAGATCGTTTGAACTTCATGTTCACTTAATCCACTCATTACCAAAGTCTGACATCACCACCCGCTCTTTCATAACTCCCTTCACAACCATCTATATTGCCTATTTCCTCAACATCAAGGTACAATCCTTTCTTCCCTTACAAACACTCAACATGTATTAACAATAATCCATATCTACTCTAGTTAACTTCATCATTTCTAATTCTGGTTGTCATAACTGTCGATTTTTTTTATAAGATCCTTGTTATAGTTATACTGAAATTGACAACATTTACCGGAGCTCCAAATTCAAGTCACACTATTTATTAAACATGTCTGAACTGATATGCGATTATGAGATGGAGGAAGGTTGGTACAGATTTACAAGCGAGGCTGGCGGTGAAATACCATCATCGTGCATTGAGGTAGACATGTGTGGTACAGTATATCCAGCCTGGATCCATGATGTTATATCTGAAACATCGAGTATTTCAACTGTTAGAGTTTGCATAAACACAGGTGAGATATTTTACAAAAATTGAGAACACTATATGCGATGTTAGTGGAATTCAATATTTACTGAATGAACTGCATTTCTGTGTTTGTCAATAGGAGATCCTGGATGCTGCGGCGAAACAATAAATATACGAGTAAAGAAATGTCCTAATGATTATTCTGTTTATGAGTTAAAGCCTCTTATGAATGGTTGTATGGGATATTGTGCAGGTAGGCCTCGTACATGAACAAATTATGCAGTGTGTATTAAGTCGTCAGATATTTTGATAAACATTTTCCCTTCCGATATTGACAAACAAAAAGTATCTGTAAAATCAGAATTGTAATACTTCAAACTTTCCTAATAATAATAATAATAATAATAATAATAATAATAATTTTGTTGTAGATGATAGGAACACTTTTTCAACTATTCTTTTATACAAATAAAGCACATGAATTTTCGTTGTAGTTATCAGAAATCTTAGAATGGAATGTCAAAAAGTGTAAGATAGTAATGAGTTAATAATTAGGATTATTTATAATTAACAAAAAGCATGAAGCTGTACGGAAACAGTCGTCAACATCTCAGGCTCGACACGGAAAATTGGCAGTTGTTAGCATATCAGGTTATAAACTGACGTTTACAATTATCAGCATTACATACTTTCAAGAGTAAACGTTGTTTGTTTAACAGGAGACCGAATGCCATGTCCACCAGGTGAACAATCACCAAATGGAGATTTTCATCCGGAATGCTCAGGTAAATGACATACCTTAAATAGATTATAATTCCTATAATAGTTGAGTTCACACAAATGAACCATTCGGGGGCTGAAAAATTTTTCTTCGATATTCAATACGAAAATTTAATTGGATGATAGGAATATGATGTTTCTGATGTTCTTGTGTGAACTGCTGATATTCATCTTTATGTTTTAAACTATTTTAAGCCGGAAGAATGATTGCTAAAGACAACATTTTAGAGTTAGTACCATCGGAGTTGATGTCTACGACTTGTTATTCATTACGTGTTCTGTTAATTGTGTTGAACTAGAAAAAATGTTATGTTTCCTTGATTTTATCGCAAATGTATCGTACGATTTTATAAGTTTTATTTTGAATGAAGTGGTTAGTAATTAACATCGATTTTGTGCCAGGATACAACCTTTGTTTCCTAAACTAGAACACTCGATTCGGGACTTGACGTCTGAAACTGTGTATTATGACTTCAGTTTTGTTTTGCAGCATAATTTGTTGTTGCTAATACATCTGAATAATAATAGTTTTTTTGTGGCATTCAGTCATATTCTACACATTGATCTGATTTGTTGTTATAGTAATTGTTTTAATCATTATTTAGTAAAACCTCATGCAGCGATACTCGACCAATCAGAATGCTATTTATATACACTAAACGTTTAGTTTCTCATTTAACTCATTAAACAATATTTGAAATAGTTTTAGAAACTGACAACATGAGATTCATTGATGAGAGTCTTTAGATTTAGATTTAAAATATTCCAAATGTGAATGGCCCTGATCGCACTAGTTTCTAAGTCGACCGGTAATGTATATTGTAATCCTATTTTACATGACCCAATGAATTTGTGAATGTGTTTAATATTTAATTATCGCAGATATATCGGTGTAATTTGAAAATCAATGCGTTTAATATTTATTTACATCTTTCAGTAATGTTAACTAATATTAAAAGACACCTTGTGTAATTGCCAGCCCTTTTGGTTAAAGTATATCTCTTTCATTTGTGTTTTTTTCTTTATCCGGTATAATACAAAAGGTAACCCCAACAAAGGCGGACATACCTCTATGCCTATGTCATGTAATGCGAATAATTTGAACAACTGTACACAGCTCGTGTTTCGTTGTTATTGCGCAAGCTCGACTGATGAAACATGAAATGAAATGTGAATATTTTGATGTATATTTTAAATCGCTGCAGCGCGATATATGATTATGCAAAACAGCATTGAATTATACATCAGTTATAACATATCCTAATATCAATCAAAACATAAACATATATATCAGGTGATTACACTATTAGCCAGGAGAGGTCAATGTAAAGCAACAGAATTTTACACAAGTCCCATTAAGGGGTCTCATTTTATCTTAATTTGTTCCTCAATCTACCCATACATTTTATACGAATATCATCCATGTTGAGAAATTCTGTGACGAAGTTCGATCCAAAATATATATGCTACAAAGGTTGCATGATGAGAATTCATGATAAAATGTGTTTGCGTTAAGACATTCTCTTTTTATATTTTTTTGATTTTCCCGTCTTTAAAGTGAATTGCTTAGAAATATATTCCTATCAGAGTAGCCGTGACGTATCATTCGTGTATGTATCTTGTTCTTTTTTTCCAGATATAATCACAGTGTCTTCAACCACAGCCTCTGCTGGCAATTATAATTGTACTACAGGCACAGGAGAAACACCAACAGAAACTCGTGGAAATGTAATGTTAGGTAGTTAGTTATATTCAAATCAATGTGTTGGTAATTATTCGTCTCGTAATTCGTGATTACGATCTAAATGCGGCTTTGGTACAATTCGTGTCCGACAATATTTCAAATGTATCATTATATGCTCTTTTTTAGGAATACTAGTTGCTACATGTGTGATATGTTTATTGATTGGACTCGGTGTTGGTCTAACAGTAGGATACGTAAAACTACGGTAATAAACGTCGTTGTCAGGTTTTATTATTTTCAAATCACTCTTCGATTTGTTGTTGCTACTGTGAAATACAAATTGCACTTTTTAATTTATAGACATTATAAAAAGTCACAAGACCCTTCTGTTGATCAGACGAATCTGGCAGACGAAGAAAACTACACAGAACTCAACCTGCGTGATATTGTAACAAACGTGTATGAAGGTGTCAACATACCTGAATCACAAAAAGTGACCAGCATGACTAACTTATGTTAGTGACGTTATGTTATGTTATGATAAGCATAGAACAATAAGTCATGTTGTAATTTTTACATTTCCACCATAGTCTTAAGAATGACAACGTTATTTAATAACACGTATGTGTTTTCGCATGATACGATTTAGATATTCAAAACATCGATTTAGTTAACATATAATTCTATAACCTGAACGTACATGCATTTTACACTATATTATAATTATTACAACACCATCTTAAACATTAGATTTGAAATTTATTTAATTTAATGCCGATTTCAGTGGAGCCGTTCGCCTGATACATATATATGTCGCTTAAGTTAAAATATCATATGGTGATAATCGGACAACGAATATGACGTAGTTAAAATACTGGGACTTCTCTTGCAACCAGTTGCATTAGATTTATATTTTTGTCTCATTTTCACCTCAGTATTGTATTTTGTATTATTAACTAGTAATGTCAAGTGTGCAATAAATATATGTCCACATTGAATCAACTATCACGTTTTACCTGGATAAAAAAGAAAGAGGAAAACATTTCAGTAATTTACACAATGTCCCGTGTTACTAAAAAATAGTCATGTGAATTGAACATATCGTTTCAAATGCAATTATTATTCAATTATTTGAGTTTACACGAGTGTACTCCTGTATAGATATATTAACATCCATACTTTATCTCTATTGTTATAGCAATTTGAAATTAAAAATAAAAACATCTTTAATAGGCAACTTATGTATTGATTTTTTTTTTGAATCCCAATCTAAAAGTGTTTTATATTTAGTACGATTTCATTATCATCGTTAAAAAATTGAATTGAAAATGAAAATGAAAAAGGCCAGTTTTAGTTGAATCAAAATAAGAAGTAACCACGACGGTGAATCGGAATATGGGTCATACCGGCTATCGCGTTTACTTTATGTTGTTAACACTTATTTATTACACGTTTGGAATGCAGGTGCAAGAATAAATAATTGAAATATTTTGAAAAAAAGATTAGACGTGCGGGAACGTAGGGCGTTAATATCGTACTAATGAATAATAATGAACACTGGATTTATGTAACAGTGAAAAGACACGATCAAAACGATCAGATTAATTATTTTCGTAATCAAGGAGGCGTAAGCTTAATGTGCTAGATAGTGGATGTACATTTCTTGAATCTGTCAATACGAGTAAAGACGAGTTAAGAGCGTATAAGGCAGCAATTTTGCACACTACACCGACGTGGTCGGTGTGACATCTTCACTAAATCCTTAGTCTGAAGACAAGTAATAATCAAAGCTCTCCAGTAATGTGGGTTTGTAAATAGAGTGGTGAAATGAAACTTCGCCATGAAATGATTGTTGCCAACTAATCACTAAATAATGTAAATAATCGCAATTCGGCATTTCGATAGTATTGACAAAACACATCGCAATACAGTACAGTAGTCTGTTTACAACTGCAAACCAGGAAAAGCTTACAAGTGTTGGGTTGCTTCGATTATCATCACCATATATTGACAAAGTCAAATTCAAGAGAAAGCCAACAGACGTATACGTTCATTGCATAAATTGTTCGCATAGCCAAATATTCGAAAGCAATATACGGCATTGTCACGGCAAATTAGGTTCATTGTGGAATTACGTTATTTCCGACTATTGTACATGTTATATAGAATAACATAAACTGTATCAATCAAGTCTCATTTAATCAATAATTTCAACTGTTCTCCGTTGTATAGTTCTAAGTGACAGATTCTCAATGTGTAATAATAAATGTTTTTTTTTAAATGAATATGTCAATTCTTACCCAATTATACCAACACCAGTCTCTACAGTATTTTTTGCTATGAACGGATGTCTGATTCACTGACAAAAGTTATGCTACCAATACTTTTTAAATGTACTCAACTTGATAAAGCTATGTTTGTATT